ATTTATAATAATAATAATAAATAACTATATATATATATATATACACACATATATATATATATATATATATATACACATATACATATACATATACACACACACACACACACACACACACACACACATACACACACCGGTTTTAATCAATATTTTACACTTTTTCCATAGAAATGCTGTGATGGTGGTTTTCTGTGTAATTTACAGTCTGTAATATAAATAAATATAAAGCTTTCCGCATATTGCAACTTTTTATACAATTATCTGTCTGTATTATGTATTTCTTTGTCATTTATATTTAATAATTCAGACTTAATCGGTTTCTTTTTTAGACAAATTCAGTGTTTTTTGGTTCTTGAATCACTGATATAGTGGAATTTAACGGTGAAGTTGCAGATTGCAACTGACTGAATACCACTTGCATTACAAGCGTGTAGGAGCGACTACAGTTAAATCTTTTATTTTATGGGTCCGTAATTACATAATAATCAGAGTTCATGTGTCGTCTGGCTGCGAGGGAAACAGAGACAAAGATCTGAGAGTTATTTGAGTTCAGTTTATAAGTTTTAGAGGAACTTCCTTAAAAGTGGGGCTCCTCCATTTCAATAAAAGACCATTAAAGAGCTTGACTTGATAAAAAAAACATGACGAATATGAATAATTAAAACATTTTAGGTGTCTGTGGGTTGGAAGTTGAGGGTAAACTCAGACTCAGGCTGAGTTCTTACTCACAAACTGTATTTAGTTCTTTTGAGCGCCTTTGATTTTAAGACGTGTCTCAATGAAGACTGAATGTTAAAGGACCAACTGAATACAGCTCAACTTAAACATGTTGGTTTGTCCTTTATGGGCTCCTATAGAAACAAACAACAGGATCATTCAGAATTATCTGGATGCATATTTGGGATTATGATGATTAATAAACAGAATTAAATTTAAAAAATCCTCATCTATAGCATTTTAATTACATAAAGTCAACTTAAATAAAATTACAAACATTTTAATTCGTGTGACTCCAGTTTGTTTGGAGGATTAATTTATGTTAACTTCCTGCTTCCTGACGTGTTGTCAGGTTTTACAGTGAGCGTTTGAGGCACCTGTTTAAATCATTAAAACGACACAGAAAACTGTCGACCTTCTTTTAAGATCTTCTGTCATGACGCCCTGCAGCAGTCTTTCATTTCCAGAATAGCATCAAGCACTTCTTCACTCTTCAAACCCCCTTTGGTTTTTTTTTCCCTACATGAATGCACAACATTATATTCAATGAACAAACTCTACTCAAGATACCGATTACCAATTGATACAGACTGCAACTTCGGACTTCCTATCTTCAACATTCATAGAGAAGCTGCTTTTAATCTTCTGAGCTCCAAATATTTGAACAAAACCTGCAAAAGATCCTTAAAATTTAATTTTTATGCCCAAATTTGATGCTTGTACTTGTAATAATTTCCATAAACGTCCTCCTGAATGTTAAAGTACAACCTGACTGGGTTTGTGTCTGTAGATCTACACACCTCCTGCCAACAGACAATGGGAACGACGTCTCACTATGTGCTTAATGTGCCCGATTACACACACAGAGAGGCTGCTGTTAATCCTGCTTACTGTATTAGCAGTGTCACCGATCGCAGTGACTCGGCGTTCTTCAGACACGTGTGCGCGGCACGAGCTCCAACGTGCAAATCTGCTGTAAGACAATGCAAGAGCTGCTGTCATTAACCCGCACCGTCACTCACCTGAAGAGTGAGTAAAGAGGTGGATCACCCTTAAACCTGTAGCTCCGGCTTAATGCGACCTGCAGGCGGTCCATCCAGGATTTGCAGGTTGTTTTTTGGGGAATTGTTGCAGCCTAAAATTACCTGATTTCACTGCAGTTTTTCTTTAAAAAAATGCAATTAAATTGTGTAAGATACTGAAAATTATACAAAAAGTTGCAGTTTTGTAAATTAGAAATTGAAGGCAAAATGTTCCAGTGAGAATAACATAGCAGTTTAGTGACTTACGGGAAACTACAATGATTTTGCAACATCACTTATTTTGAAGTTGCCAGCCTCCGCCAGCACTTTAGATCATATTCACTTCAAGGATATTAAGTTGTATGAATATGTAAACAGTGAATACATCAACAGAAAGAACTGCGCCTCTATTTTTATCCACAAAGAAGATTTTATTATAACTTAGTTCATTCTTTTTATAACAGTGAAAATCTTGTTAACGGCGAGCTTAGTGTTTAAAGAAGATTTCTGCCTTGATGAAACTTTCACTCGAACAAATGTTTCAACACAAAGAGTTTCTGAAAGCCAAAAGAATCAGAGTTCAGTTTCTTATGCTTTTACTTTTTATTTCTACAGTAAGTTAATGTTTATTTATGAGATTATAAACATTAACAGCTGTCCTCTATATAAAGATCCAAAGTCACATGGTGTCTCACTCCCTCTGCCTGTGTTGTACCGCAGCCTCTCTGTGGTTTGTTTCCATAGCCGGTCCGACTGAAACTGCACTGTTTTTACATCTACGTGGTGAATTAAAGGATTTATTTCCACCAAACAGAGTTGGTGATTTTTGGAAACACTAATAGAGATGGTTTAATGAGTTTCCTTTTTGGTTTGAGATGCTGGTGGAATTAAATTTTGTAAACCTTTAAAGTTGATGGTTTTAAAGAAGGCAAACACTAAATTCCAGTCTGTACTAAGCCTCATTTCTACAAGGCACAGACATAAAACTTAAAATACTCTCTGTTAAGTCAGAATTATTGAGAATAAAACTTCTCTCTGAATTTCCCTTGAAGTCTGTTTGGTTCTCCCATTAAAATAAATCCTAGATATGAGCAACACGAACGGATGTTCCAGCTACATTCAGACAAAAAACAAAACAAAATGACAAACAATTATTTTTATTTATCTTCAAACACGTGTAGAAAAGCAAGAACAATTCCGGAAGCAATATCAGTTTTTGAAATATTAAACAATAAAACAATATCTACTAAAATAAAAAGTGAAATGTTTTAGATGGCAGTTGATTTACCAAGTTCCCTTTTAAATTATTTTGTCAGTCTTCACGACTGACAGCAGGTTTAAATAAACTTTTTAGGGAACCTGGACTCACATCTTCCCCTGAGAAAGTCAGACATTTGGGTTTTCATCATGTCACAGCAGCAGCTCCAACAAACAAACTGCTCTTTTTAATGAAAATATGTCCAATGATCAGATGAAAAGAGACATTTTTGTTGAATGAAAGACGCACTGTTGTCTAAACCAAAAGCTAAATTCATTGGGTTGATGGATGAAAACAGCCTCTTAACAGCTGTGACATGATGCCGGTTAACCGAAACTCTCGCCTCAAACACAGAACAACAAACCAGGAAGCACCTTCTTTAGTTAAAGTAAAAATCAGTCAGAGTTCCACAGCAAGAAAGCATCAAAGATAAACCATCACACTTCTTCCATTTCAGATGATTATTTTTTGTTTTAGCCCCTTAAATAAACTTCCGATATACTTAAAGCGCTTAAAATTGATTTATTGTGGTGATTCTGGCGCCCCCTTGAGGACAAAAGCAGTCGTGTTTATACTGCCGTGTTTCATTGATTTAAAGGGGAATCTGACCCGGCGGCAGACATTAAAGAATATAGAGAAATCTTTTCTCTGATGGTTTGTTTATCTGGGTCATTTAAAGGCATCAGTGTTAAATTCAAAGCTTAAAAACTCACATTACACTTTGTGTCTATTATTGCGTGGTTGACGTGTTTGAACACATCCGCTTAAGCAAACACTGAAAACACAAATGCTTCTGCGTCTTTGGGAATCGACTTGCAGCGACTTGAAACGAGCTGCAAACAGATAATCCATCACCTGCATGCTTTTATTTTGGTCAAAGTGAAATTATTGTTCTTTAGAAAAATGACACAACGTTGACTACAATAAACTGTGAAAGGTGATCTCTCTGCAGCAAGTCTCTGCAAGCAGCCGGGAAACACTACATCAGTAAACACTTACTGGGAAAAGGTCAGCAGTAATGTGCAGATATGTAAGTTAATAGGCTAAAACATAAAAAACAGATAAAGTTCTTTAGCATAAATGTTGACTCTGATACATTCCCCTGTAACACGACATACAACTTGTTACAAAACATCATGAATTATAAATACAAGTGCTATCACGGTGTAACAAGGCAGTGAGTGATTCATATTAAGCACAAAATATATCATAATTTTGACATGAATGGCAAAGTGTTACAGTCATTTAACATAAGCACTAAGCCTGCTTGTTAGCTGCATCCATGTAGCTTTAGCTACATTAGCACAAAGAGCAGTTTAAAGATTTAACCTATGTAAGCAACAATAAATCTTCTAATGTCATAAATACTCATTACATTTTTTACACAATAATATGAGTTGTAAAGGTTTAGTGCTTTTTCTATCTGGAAAAATAGACATAAACAAGTCAGGATAAGGAACTTTGCCAAACCCATCAATGTTTGTAAGATAAACCATGTTATTTATTTTACAGCATTTTTATTTTAACAGCGTAAATACATCTATTATTAATCCTCATTTAACTTCCATTCCCTGCTACATATTGTATGCACACAATTTGTTTTTTTGTGCTACCTAGCTGACAGTATTAGCCTAGCCACCGCTATGGGAAAGTGATCTAACATAACAGATGTATTTAAGGGAGGACTGGAACAGCGTTGGAGGCGGGGCTTTGTTAATGAAGCTGCTCAGTGACGCATGAAGTCAAGACTACCACTGGCCAAGTTTCTAACTTCCAGTTTAGCCCGCCACTGGCATGAAGGGGACAAAATGATTTCATTGTGCAGCTCTTTTAGACTTTTCAAATGTTGTCGGACCGAATGGATCAAATTTAGATAATAAAACGAGTCAGTTTGCGGGGGTTGTGTCCACCGTTTTACAACTGCTTCTTTCACAATGCAAGCGTAAAGGAAACTTATTATGGTGCCCCGTGTGAGGCCAGGTGAAGGGAGGACTTTTCCTCCTATACTAAAATAACGTAGCATCATTCTGGTAAATAAGGCTTTTATGAATTTTTTTACTGACCAAAACTCTTAGAGGTACATAAAAAATATATAAGTATTACAACTTCCCATTACTTCAAATACATTCTGTTATAGTTATATTCTTTTAAAGGCATGGACACTCTTCTACAAAGGGATAAAACTGAATGAATACACTTTCCACCAAGTGAAATCAGACTTGTTTTCATGTCATTAGTTCCTAGTAGGAAACAAGTCCATTGTCATTGCCAGGGCGTCGAATACCGCCATTTTGTCTCTATGCAGACGCACAACATATCCTTTAGCATCAGTTTAAGACGCAATGTAACCCAGTACGTCATGTTGTGTGTTATAAAGAGTGAGAAAGTCCGTGTAAGGAGGTGTTTGGGGTGATGGATGGGTCAAACACAGGACTTGGAGACTGTGGTTTGTGTTTAGGGATGGGAACTGCTAGGATTTAAGGGGTACCTTGTAAGACGCATGACAAAACAGTGTCGCACAACCTGGAATGAGAATGTGTTGAATATATTTCAAATGTAATTTAATGGTCAGCATAATTGAGGATAATAGAAACTCAAACTGAAAGTTGGAATTAACAAGCACATCGTTAGTTCCTTGCTGGAACCAAGAAATAAATTAGCAACCAAAGTGGAGCATCCAATTAAAATGATGGAAACGCCGGCTGGTTTGCTAGATACCGCCAAGAATCTTAAACAGAACTGGTTCAGAAACCAGAACTACTTTGGTGGAAAAGGAGCCTGCATCAGATATAACATGATCGGTATCAGTAAAGTTTGCATCCAAACCAGTTAGATTTGACCAGGCTGTAGCTTTTTCTTTCTGGAGTAGTTTTTTTTAATTGAAAAAGCTCCAGAACAAGGCAGTAAGTGTTAAGTGTGCACTAAAACAATTTGAAGCTAATTTGTAGTAAGCTAACGGTGGGATTTGAATCAAGAATTGCTGTTTTCTGGTATTATAGAAGTATGTTTGACACTCTTGATTCAAGGCCTATTTATGCTGCTTTTTCATCCTGCAGATTTCTGTCAGCTCTTCTATGTTTGAGTCTCGGTTGTTAATTGAAATGAGCAAATCGTTGACATTACATGATGAGTTGCAAACCTCCTTTCCGCAGAGCCTGAGGGAAGTACGTTGTCCAAACTCTATTAGAGTCTCTGGAAGGTCTTCATGTTGGCGGCGGCCCGTTGACGTACCTCAGCGTCAGGTGGAAGCTATGACGCAACCTGCTGCTCCGGTGACACGGCGGCTCCAGGAACCAGATCAGACAGGCCAGGAGAACCAGAGCTGTAGCCAGGAGGAGGTAGAGGAGGGCTGGGGAGAGCAGGGAGGAAGGGGCCCTGCTGCTGGAGGTCACGCTGCATGGAGGAGGAGGAGGAGGAGGAAGAGGTGGAGGTGTTATTGTTTTGTTTGACTGCTCAACCTTGTCAGAAAACTCCGGGAATTTAACCCTTAAGAACATCTACCTCATGAGTTACTTATAGCAAGTGTTCGTAAAGCAACATTTTACTCTCTTAAAGGTACAATTTGTAATTTCTGCCACTAGGGGGCATAAAAAACATAAAACAATAATACAAATGTGATATGGCCCGCTCATCACTAGTGACTATACATGTGTCTCTTATTTTTAAAGCATCTTCAAAATGTGGTTGTCTTTTCAACATAGATTAGCCTAGCACGTAGCATCAAGTACAGGAAAGGAGGAAGTTGACTGAGGCTTGCTCAACTGTTATTGGCGCACAGAACAAAAATGGGCGGGGCTTATGAACACTCAATTTCTTGAACAGACTCCACTAAATGGCAATTTCTTTGCAGTGCAACACCATGAACTGAATATAAACAATATTCCTGTTAATTATCAAATAAAAACCATGTTTGTTGGCCATCTCGTGTTTTTCTCTTCTTAAACATAAAGTACACTGTTCTGCTTATCTCTGTGGTTTTAGAAACATCCTGCGAGTTATAGCCGGTCTATATCTCTGAGGGTTTCTGTGTTTTCTCACCTTTGTTCGGAGAGAAGACGCTCAACTTCTTCACAGGACGGCTCTTCTTCAGCCTTAAGAACAGAGCGCTCCTGTTAACCCACAGTGGTTTCAGGCAACTCTTCTTACGTTCACATGCAAACTTTTTAAGAAAATATCTGCACAGAGTTTATTTCTCCCTTTCGGGCATCAGTGACACTACTTCTTATTACTACAACTTATCTAAAAAGGTGCTGTGTGTGTGTTATTTTCCATCAATAAATCAATACCACATTAATATTTGACACTTTAATTACTGTGAAGTGATAAAATTGTCTGGCAGTCTCAACACTGTATCGTGTCACAACAACAACGTCTGCAACCAAAAAACACAAACATCTGATTTATCTTGTTTACCAGTAAAATCCAAGATAACCATTACTCGATGTTCTACAAGTAGAGTGCAGTAAAGAAACACAGTTAGTGCAGTAAAAAAAATGCAGTATACTGCAGTAAAGAAACACAGTAGATTGCAGTAAAGAAACAGTAGAGCGCAGTAAAGAAACAGTAGAGCGCAGTAAAGAAACAGATTGGAGTAAAGAAATGCAGTAGAGTGCAGTAA